AAAATGCCGGCAACGCACCTGCAATTCCCCTGGTGTTCCGGTTGATCATGGGCGGCGGTAGTCACTTAACATCAGGTGAGCCGCATGCTCGTTTGCCCCCTCTTCTATAAAAAAAAAATGTCGTTTTAATTTGAAAATTAATGAAGTATCATCAGCAAATAATACTATATCATGATTATACCCTACTATGTAAGGTAAGTCATTAATATATACAAGAAACAGAAAGGGGCCGAGAATTGAGCCCTGAGGCACGCTCATTTGTACAATCGACCCGGAAGAACTCATACTATTAATGACAACTTTTTGCGTTCTGTCACTTAAACATGAAATAATTAATTTAAGAGCATCGTATCTTATTTTTTGTTTAGATTTTATAATAAAGTATTACAAAACTAGTATTATTCTTTTATTTAATTTATAAAAATAGTTTACGCAGTAAATGATCATACATAAATTATAACCGGGGATGCGGTCTCCTTTTTAAGTATAAAAACTTGTGTTAAGAGACTCCACTCTTTCATAGAATTAACATTACTATTTGCATGATTTTTACATAATAATTAACTAATAATATTCACGCCAAAGGTATATGCATGCGCGCACGTCCGTGTGTGTGTGTGTGTGTGTGTGTGTGTGTGTGTGTGTGTGTGTGTGTGTGTGTGTGTGTGTGTGAGTGGTCCATACTAATATTATAAATGTGAAAGTGTGTTTGTTTTTTGTTTGTTTGTTTGTTTGTCCTTCTTTCACGTCGCAACAGACCGTCGGCATGGGATGATTTTTTTGTATGGGAATAGTTCGGTGGCTGTAGAGTGACATAGGTTACTTTTTTCCGAGGAAAAACATCTCATTCCCGTGGGAAAATAGAATATGTTGCAAAAGTTTGTCCTTCTTTCACGTCGCAACAGAGAGTCGGCATGGCATGATTTTTGTATGGGGATATTTTGGTGGCTGAAGCGTGACATAGGCTACTTTTTGCAGCGGAAAAACATATCATTCCCGTGGGAAAATCGAATATGTTGCAAAATTAAATTCAGCTAGGTGGCGCCACCGTGATTCTACAAGACGGACGACGGTACGATGTACGAACACAGAAGGTCAGAATATTTGGATTATTATGTCGTTTTACCAAAATTAAGATAAAAATGTATGGATCTGTATTTTTCCAGGCAGGACCGGGAAGAGAGCGATAAAACATAAAATTCACCAGCTGATTTCCTTAAAACGTTTTGGTGCATTGTAATTCACAGAATAGGCGATAACCTCGCAGACGATATTAAGTAATCCGTTGATGCTCTGCCTACCCCTCAAGAGTTACAAGCGTGATTATAAGTATGGATAAGAAATACTATCACCACCTGTCACGCTTTCACCCTTAACTATTACTTAACTATGGTAGAAACAGTTCTTAGTAAGCCTTGTTAATAAGCCTTAGTAATATTTATTGAACGGAAATGAATAAAGTTCTTATGAATGAATCGGTATTACAATAAGAAAAATTGTGCAAAATTATAAGAAAAATATTTTTGAGAGTTCTTATTAACTAACGTATACATAGTTTAAATTGATTCAGCTAGATGTCGTTACTAGGTTTTTAAAACGCGGTAACGAAATGTTTCCTGACATGTACTTAACTCCCGCCGTTGAGACGCGCGTCAACTTATAGTGCATACGGTACCTATACGCTTAAATTGTTTCTATTTCGTAGCTTATTCGACTACCTGCTTTCAATTTCGGTTGTTTGTTATTTGCTTTGTGATTTGGTTAAGGTTGAATGGATTTATATTGGCTTTCATTTTCGGATTTGTGTATTTTCTTTGATCGGTTTTGTTGTTGGTATTCCTTTATACATATTTAGACTCTGGCTTTGATTTTGGATTTCGTTTATTTAGAATTGTGAATTGGTTTTCGTTGTTTTAGGTTGTTTTACAATATTTCAAAGGAATATTAATAGTATAGATAGTGTATACGGTACCTATACACTTACTTCTTTTTTCGTTGGTTATATTTATATTGACTACTGCTTTCGATTTCGGTTTTCTGCGATTTGATTTGTGATTTGGTTTAAGTTGATTCGATTTTTTTTTGGCTATCGTTTTCGGATTCATGTTGTGTCTTGAATTGCTTTTGTTGTTTTGATTTTAAAAATTATTTAAAAGGAATATTTATTCCTTTTAGATATTTTGGATTTGCTTTTAAAAAAAAATATTTAAAAGGAAATTTAATTCCTTCTAGGTATTTTAACGTTTTTTTATAAATAGGTTTTTTTGTTACTTCATAATGCCTCGCAAACGTAAGTCCAGCCTTTCAAGAGTATCTTCTCAAAGACAAGCGAAAAGATTAGCTCGATCGCTAGAATCTTTAGAAGATGCTGAACTGAGAAGGCAAGAACAAACAGAGCGTTAGGCTGCTTTTAGAGCATCTGAGACACCTTCTCAACGTCAGCAAAGGCGTCTTGAACAGACAGAGCGTCAGGCTGCTTTAAGAGCTTCCGAAACACCTGCTCAAAGTCAGCAAAGGCGTCTTGAACAGGCAGAGCGTCAAGCTACTTTAAGAGCTACTGAAACACCTGATCAAAGTCAGCGAAGGCGTCTTGAACAGGCAGAGCGTCAATCTACTTTAAGAGCTACTGAAACACCTGCTCAAAGTCTGCAAAGGCTATTCGAACAAGCGGAACGTCAGGTCGCCTTAAGAGCCACGTAAACACCTGATGAAACTCAACACAGACTCATTGAGCAAGCTGAACGTCAATCTACTATAAGGACATCTGAAACACCAGAACAGACACAGGCGCGAAGAGATGCAAATGCACAGCTCCAAGCTGAACGTCGACAAAATTTTCAAAGAAACAATTGGTCGGTTTTTAATGACGCAGCATTCAATTATGATCCGTTGATTGATTATAAAATTCACAGGTTAGTTGTTATCGGACTGATGGACAGGGCTTGTCGATTTTGCAGCGCTTTAAAATGGAAAGATGAGACCGCAGGCATGTGCTGTTCCAATGGCAAAGTGTCTCTTCCGTTACTTAGGGAACAAGAAGAACCTTTGAAAACTCTCTTTTTATATGATGCTAATGAGTCACGGCGCTTTTTAAACAGGATCCGGAAATATAACTCATGCTTTCAAATGACGTCCTTCGGAGTTGACCGGGAAATAATAATGCCGGGATTTTCGCCTACATTTACGGTGAAAGGGCAAATTTATCATAGAATAGGTTCACTTTTTCCAGCTGAAAGCGAACAGCATAAATTTTTACAAGTATATTTTATGGGTGACGAAGAAATTGAGGTAGACTGCCGCTGCCAATTTATCCAGGGAGTTGAGAGAGACACAGTGTTCAAAATTCAAAGATTGTTGCATGAACGTAACATTTTAGTCAAAACATTTAAAACTGCTTTAGAAAACCTACCTGAAGAGGATTATAAAGTCGTTATTCACGCAGATCGGACCCCTCGAGGAGAGCATTAAAGGCGCTACAATGCACCTTTGATAAACGAAATAGCAGCCGTAATTAGTGTTGTGTAGTATCAATTTTCTTCACGAGACATTGTCTTGCGAGCACATGATGATACGTTGCAACGGGTAGCCGATACACACAAGTTTTATGAAGCTCTGCAATACCCATTGATTTATTGCAATGGACAAGAGGGTTATCATTTTCAAATTCCACTCATTATAACCCGGTCACAAAGGAGCCTACTCTGAACAAAAAAGTATCATGTATGTGTTTTTATGCGTATCATATGATGTTGCGAGAAAATGATTTTAACCTCTTAGCCCGGTGTAGACAATTATTTCATCAATTTTTGGTAGACATGTATGTGAAGGTAGAAAGTGAACGTCTCCGTTATATATCTTTAAATTAAAAAAAGCTGCGCGTTGAGAATTATATACATTTACAAGATGCAGTATCTAGCGACGCCAATGTAAACCCCAGAGATTTAGGTAAAATGGGAATTCTGCCCTCATCATTCGTTAACAGTCCCCACTACCTACATGAGTACACACAAGACGCATTCGCCTATGTACGAACTTACGGAAGACTTGATCTTTTTGTAACTTTTACTTGCAATCCCACATGAAAAGAAATAACTGAGGAGCTAATGCCGGGCCAAAAAAGTACTGACAGACACAATTTAGTTGCTAGAGTATTTAGATTAAAAGTACAAAAATTAATGTATGTAATTAACAAAGGGAAAATTTTCGGAGAGGTGCAGTGCTTCATGTATTCAATTGAATGGCAAAAAAAGAGGATTACCGCATGTCCACATTCTAATATGGCTTAGAGAGAAGTTGCGGCCCAGCCAAATAGACGACATAATAAGCGCCGAGATTCCGGATCCTGAGCAAGATAAAGAGTTGTATGATACCGTCGTCCGAAATATGATTCACGGTCCATGTGGAGCACGAAATTCAATATCGCCATGTATGAAAGAAGGAAAATGTACAAAGAAAGTCCCTAAACAGCTATTAAAAGAAACAGTGCACAATGACAATGGCTACCCTTTATACAGACGCAGAGCTCCCGAAGATGGTGGCAGGAAAGTTACAATCAAATCTCCCTCTGGAGCGTTCGAAACCTTAGATAACAGCTGGATTGTCCCGTATTCGCCCATTCTATGTAAAATGTTAAAAATGCCCACATTAATGTAGAAGCATGTAGCTCTGTCCGCGCAACCAAGTATATCTGCAAGTACATAAATAAAGGAAGCGACCAAGCAATATTTAATCTCAGGAGTGAAGGTGAGGCAAATCCCGTTAATGAAGTACAGGCCTTTCAAGCAGGGCGTTATGTCAGCAGTAACGAGGCAGCGTGGCGTCTCCTTGGCTTCCCTTTACACGAAAGGCACCCAACAGTTACTCACCTTGTCCTGCGCTTAGAAAATGGAGAGCGTGTATATTTCACCGAAAGAAATTTCCAAGAAAGAATTGCATCACCGCCAAAAACTACACTAACAGCCTTCTTTCAACTTTGTCAAACCGACCCCTTTGCAAAAACGTTGTTATATTCTGAAGTCCCCCGCTATTATACTTGGAACACATCTAGGAAGGAGTGGAAACGCCGTATTCAAGGCGCGCCTGTTGCAAATTGGCCTGGTGTAAAGTCATCAGACGCCTTTGGTCGTGTGTATACCGTCCATGTAACTAATTTTGAATGTTTCTGTTTACGATTGCTGCTGCACCATCTTCGGAGTCCTATAGGATATAAAGACCATAAAACTGTCAACGGTCAGGAATGCGCAACTTATAGAGAAGCATGTGAAGCTCTGCATCTTTTAGAAAACGATAATCACTGGGATGAAACCATGATGGAATCTGAGCAGTGCCACTCACCAGCCAAAATTAGGGATCTTTATGCAACTCTCATATCATCTTGCGGGCTATCTAATGCACATGAATTGTGGGACAAATATAAAGAGTACATGGCGGAAGATATTTTGCAAAGGTTACAGCAGACACACGCGAACATGACATACAATGAACACATTTATAATGAAGCACTTGGAAAAATTGAAGATGAAGTAATGGCAATGGTAGGCAAAAAATTAAGCTACTTTGGAATGATAAGCCCTCAGCGAACAATCGAAAATGAACTAAGTGATGAAATTATATGTGAAACAAACTACAATATATCAGCTTTGCAGCAGCAAGTAGCCGAATTTGTGCCCCGCTTGCTTCTCGAACAAAAACGAGTTTTTGACAAAGTGTTAGGACAAATTGAATCTGGAAATGGTGCACTTTTCTTTTTAGATGCCCCTGGTGGAACTGGAAAGACATTTTTGTAAAATTTATTATTAGCGCAAGTCCGAAAAGATAAAAACATAACAGATAAAAACGTGGCCGTAGCTTCCTCCGGTATAGCCGCCACACTGCTAAGCGGGGGCCGCTCTGCACATTCTGTTTTAAAACTTCCTCAAAATCTAGCCCAGGTAGAATTGCCGATCTGCAACTTTAGCAAAAATAGTGCACGAGGTATAATGCTACGACAATGCAAACTTTTAGTGTGGGACGAAAGTAAAATGTCGCATAAAAAAGCTGTAGAAGCACTAAATCGAACGCTCCAGGATTTGCGCAGCAAAACCGATGTAATGGAAGGAATGGTGGTTTTACTGGCTGGTGCCTTTCGCCAAACTTTACCTGTCATTCAAAAGGGCACACCTGCAGATGAAATTAAAGCATGCCTCAAGTCGTCTATTTTATGGAACAAAGTGACAAAATTCAGTTTAACTACGAATATGAGAGTGCATTTGTATAATGATATCAATGCTGGAAACTATGCTGACACACTATTAAAAATTGGCGATGGGCGGTTGGAAACGGATGCTGAGGGCTGCGTTAAATTGACGAGAGATTTTTGTTATTTAGTACACAGTCATTCCGAATTAATTGCGAGCGTTTATTCAGATTTAACGAACAACATGCATGAAGACAAATGGTTATGTGAAAGGGCGATTCTTGCACCAAAAAATAAGAGCGTTAATAAAATAAATTCAGATTTATTAAGCGAAGTAGAAGGAGAAATAACAGAGTATTTTTCAGTAGACACAGTCATGGACACAGAACAGAGCACTTCATATCCCGCAGAGTTTCTAAATTCTCTAGAGTTGTCAGGTGTGCCCTCACATAAGCTTCAATTAAAATTAGGCGTCCCAGTCACGCTATTGCCAAAATTTAGATGCTCCTCGGTTATGTAACGGGACAAGGCTGCGTGTGATACATCTTGGACGGAACATTATCGGTGCTACAATTTTGACAGGCGTAGGAAAAGGTGAAAGTGTTATTATACCACAGATTCCTATAATTCCCACAGATCTTCCTTTTCAATTCAAAAGGTTGCAGTTCCCTATTAAGCTCAGTTTTGCAATGACAATTAATAAAGCGTAAGAGCAAACGTTACAGGTAGCGGGGGTCAACTTAGAAAAACCGTGCTTCTCTCATGGTCAGCTGTATGTAGCATGTTCGCGTGTGTCAAATGCCCAGAATTTCCACATTCTTTCCCCGAATGGAAAAACATATAGCATTTTGTACAGTAGCGTCTTAAAATAGTGTTCAGTTAGTTTTTTTTTCAAAATTCCCACAATCAATTAATCAGAATTCCCACAGATCTTCCCATTCAATTCAAAATTTCATATTTAACTCAGTTTCTTTTCAAATCCAAATGCTGCACCTCTGACGCACCTATTAAGCTCAGTTTCCTTTCAACTCAAAAGGCTGCACCTCTGACGGATCTTTTATTTGGCTCAGTTTCCTTTCAAATCAGAAAACTGCATCTCTGAAGAATCAATTTAGCACAGTTTCTTTTCAAAAGTCTGCATCCCTGACGGATAATTATGCTCACTTTCCTATAATTAAAAAACTATCCCATTTCCATTTGGAATAAACAGGCTATTTTCATGCTTTCCTATACGGTGCGTTTCAAAAAATTTAAATAGGCTGACGAATCAATTTTGCTCAGTTTCCTTTTAATGGCTGCGTCTCTAACAAATTTATAAAACTCAGTTTTCTTTCAATTCAAAAAGCAATGGATAGTTCATTTCCCAGTGACCATGCGGGCGAAGTCGCGGGTAACAGTTAGTACGACATAATGCTATGGAAATAACTAAAGTAAACTATTCTAGCTGTTTCAACACTGGTAAGAGTTCTAATCTTTTTTACAGCATATGCTGCAGAACTAAGTCTGCCAGCTAGAGCCCTTGAAGCTTTGCGTCCAGTGTAATTGCAAGAAAAATGGTGGTATCAACAGACTCAGTTCCTCCCCATTTAAAATTACATTAGTATTGACATGTTTAACATTAGGAGCTACGAATTTCATACATTTAGTTTTAGTTCCATTCAAATGCAAATTATTAACATTAAATCAATTGACTAACTGAGCTATAGCATTATTTACTTCGTCGTAATTTAATAACTGTCGTTTTAATTTGAAAATTAATGAAGTATCATCAGCAAATAATACTATATCATGATTATCCCCTACTATGTAAGGTAAGTCATTAATATATACAAGAAACGGAAAGGGGCCGAGAATTGAGCCCTGAGGCACGCCCATTTGTACAATCGACCCGGAAGGACTCATACTATTAATGACAACTTTTTGCGTTCTGTCACTTAAACATGAAATAATTAATTTAAGAGCATCGCTTCTTACACCGTAGTGTTGAAGTTTCCTGATTAATGTTTCATGGTGAACACAATCGAAGGCTTTGGATAGGTCACAGAATACACCCAAACCATCCTGTGAATTCTCCCATGCAATGAATATATATTTAATCAGCTCAACACCAGCATCAGTTGTCGAGCAACCCCTTGTGAAACCAAATTGATTGATTGAAAGTACTGCAATGTAGTGATGTACACCACAACTTTAGCTATCGACAAGTTAATTAATCCATTCGGGTTTGTCTGCCGAACATGTTTTTATTTTTTTTAGATTTTATAATAAAGTATTACAAGTAGTAATTTTGTCTATTATTGGTTTAATAATAATAATAAATAAAAATAGTTTATACAGTAAATAATCGTACATAAATTATAACCGGGGATGAGGTCTCCTTTTAAGTATAAAACTTGTGTTACGAGACTCCACTCTTTCATAGAATTAACATTACTATTTGCATGATTTTTACATAATAATTAACTAAAAAATAAAAATTAAAAACTAATAATATTCACGCCAAAGGTATATGCATGCGCGCATGTCCGTGTGGGTGTGTGTGAGTGAGTGGCTGTGTGTGAATGAGTGAGTGAGTGAGTGCGCACGCGCGTACGAGCGTGTGCGTGTGTGTGCGTGCGCGTGTGCGTGTGTATGTATGTGTGTGTGTGTGTGTGTGTGTGTGTGTGTGTGTGCGTGTGTATGTGCGCGTGTGTCTGTGTATGTGTGTGTGTATGTGTGTGTTATAAATAAATTAAATTATTTCATATTGCTCAAAAGAGCCTCAGTATCACCATAGCTCTTATGAAATAGTAATTTGGTTAGGAGATATTTGCAATTATGGTAGTTAAGGTGATGAATTTTTATGCTTTTATTGGCGTTATATAAAGTCGCTGACTGATTTACATATTGCCTCCTAGCTAAAAACAGTTTTAACGGCGACAGCTGCAGCCACTACGTTTTGCCTTCTTTACAATACAACATACATAAATATCACTCAAATAATACCTTACATAAATACTTGGTCTCAGTGAACAGCTGCAACTAGTACTTAAGGGATCATAGCATGTGTGAAGCTTAATTTGGGAATTAATATTCGGCTAAGTTTTCAAAGTATTTAAAGTAAGTAGGTTAGTGTTCAGCCACTTAGCGTATCTAGCAAAGCCTTCTTCAGCAGATCTACGAAAAGAATCCCAGGAGTTACCAGTAAATATCACTACAGTATCATCTGCAGAGGAGATTATGTTGCCTTTGTTAATGTTCATGTTGGTTAGATTATTTATGTAGATTAGTAACAAAGTAGGATCTGATTCATCGCTTAATTATTCACTTATCTTTACTATCTGCTTGCGATCCTTAAGATAGTCTTTAAATAAATCCATGTGAGTACCCCTTATACCTATATTTCCAAGAGATCCTCTTAAGTGGCAGACTTGGATTGCAGCTTGTAGAAATTATGAATCATGGATAACTACCGGTGGGTGAAGTGCAGGGCGACCCGACAATGATTGAGTGACGACCTGTTAAGACATGCCGGAAGTGAATGGATGCAGGTGGATCAGAACCGTGCTTTGTGGCACCCCTTGGGGAAGTCATTTTCCATCACTGGCAACACGCACTGGTTATATAATCTAGTTTTCAGGTTATTCATGTATCAGTTATCACTGAACAGTTGGCGTCTGGTCGTCATAATGAAGTCAATCTCATTTTTTGTCGAACCGTTGGGGCTTGACCAGGTCCACTTCCTGTGAGGCCGCTTCTGGAAGAAAGAGTTTCTCATAAAGAATCCCGCTTTCTCCATGAAGTGGGACAGCTGCTGGCCTGTTAAGTTCCGTTTCCCTATCCCGAATTTCCCTACCTTCAGCTCACCGTTCTTTCTTGTGCCCAGTTATGAGTTGAGGTCTCCCATTACACCGTATAGTGAGTTTTGGAGGAATGCATGACTCTATAAATATCCTCATACATTTCCTCCACCTCCTCATTGGGATATTGCGACGTTGGCACGTAAACCTGAATGACCTTCAGCGAATACCGTTTGGTGATTCTGAGTATAAGGTACGCAACCCTCGCCGATACACTCCCAATCTCTACAACTTTGTTAACGAGAGACTTGTGGACGATAAATCCAACATCTTCTTGGGACAGATGGTCGCCCTCCTGGTGATAGAACAAATTGCCAGATTCCAGAATCACCGAGTTCTCCCCTCTCTTCAGACCTAGGATAATCCTATAATATTCCAGCGCAACTTGTCTATCTAATCTTTCAGCTCCAGGATCTTTTCGTCAGTCCCCAGAGAGACTATGACTTCGATAATATTAGGAAGTTTAAAGAATGCTTAAAAATTGTCGTGATCAAAAGCATACATGGAAAATGATGCTAACGCAGCGTTCAGCAGATTTCATGAATTATTTTGCCTATTCTACTATCTTTATTTTCCAAAACAACGCGTCAAAATAAACTTACAAAATAAAATAAAAACAAAATTGGATGAGCAAAGGCCTCAAAGTAAGTTGCAAAACAAAACGAATGTTTGACTACAACTACAGCATTATTACACATTACGGACGATACTCTTACCAGCGCTGATAATGGACAAGGTACCATTCTAGTGCTACTTGATTTTTCTCGAGCTT